TCGAACCGCTAATCCCTCTCTCTATCTCCCTGCTTTCTCTTTCTGCCCTCACCACTAATCCTTGTAACAACCTCAAATTCCGCCATTGGAGCTCCACCAAAAGCTTTGCTTATCAAGCAATAACCCACAAATTAGTTTGACCCACATCAGTTGATTTTTTTTTAATTTTTTTCTAGGGCTTTCTCTATTCTTAATCTATTGATTTAACTTCTTTTTCTTCAATTTTCCTGTTGAATCTAGAACTAATTCGTTGTATTTACATTTCTCTATTGTAAATCTTGTCTTTCTCTATTGTAAATGTTGTTTTTATTTGTATCGCTGGGTTTCTTTACTTAGAAATATGAATATTTACTCAATTTCATGTAAGCTACCGGCAATTTATTTAGATATGGGGCTTGAAGAAGTTCATCCGCATCTTCGCAATAGTTATCAATGAGAAGGATTTTCAATTATGATATTAAAAAAAAATATATATAATATCCAAAATGAACAATTATACAGGCAGTTGCTTGCTTTCTTAATGTTAAACAAATGAAATTACCAACACCATAGTTTATCAAACATGGATTTCAGCTTTAATGCTACCAATTTTCACGGCTTCCTTGAATCCAAAAAAGTTAGTAGCAAGGGAGTTTTCCAGAGAAACTGCAGTGAAAGTTATCCAACACCAGCTAGTCTCAAACGTATGAATGTATAATGACAATTTTGCATTCCACGAACACATGTACATTAAACCCTTGAATGTGCACTGATTATAAGACTTCGGCTCCAATAATAAATTTTAGAACAGAAAATAATGATTTTTAAAAGGTTTACTTTGTATTTCCTTATATGTAGGGTTTAAAAAATTAGTTATTTGGATTTGAATAAAATTAAATCAGGCCTATACAAATCCTAAAAAATGGCGAAACTTGGCCGATTCCCAATTGAGGGACAATCTAGGTCTTCAATCTTTTTTCTTGAAACCTTGCTTATGTGTATCAAGTCTATGTGGGGTCGGTATTGCATCCACATGCAAGGAGCATGTGCACCACTTAATGGTTTAGATTGAACCATATGCTCATCCAAGGGCCAATAATGAATCTCATTTTTTTTAATTTTTATTTAAAAAATTATATTAATTTGAAATTTTGGTTTTAGGCTCATTTTTATTACTAAGATTGATTAAAATAAATAAAAAATATTTTGAATATTTTTTAATCATTTTTATTTAATTATATTTATAGCAATTCTCTTACATAGATAAGTATCGTATTCCAATAAAAATTTAAAAATAAAATACTGTTGGGTTTGGTGATAGCCAAATCACCATACCAATATTTTCTTTTAAAGAGTAAAGGTATTACGGTAAAAAAAAAAAAGAGACTTCTTGAGAGCAAGAAAGTGATATTTATACAAAGATAGTAAAAAAAAACATAATACCCACTCTTTTGAGAGTCACCCTTTTAGGGCTTATGGGAAGGGATATCTAAGATGACGATAGGTCTTTAAGAGAGAGAGAGACATGACCTCCAAGAGAGAGACGATATTCTTATGAATTTTGAATTTGTAAGGCTTCAAATTCTAGAGAGAGAAAATCTCTCAGTTGCTCTTGATGATATCTTTCTGGTATTTGCGGTGGGAGATAAGATAGAGATCGATGGTGTTACTCGGTTGGGAGAGCGGGTTTAGAAAGAAAGATCGGTGATGGTTTTTTATCGATGTTTAGAGGTATTATCTCTTGTAACCCACAATTGTACACTTCCTTGTGATAGTGGATTCCTACTTGTTGAAGCTGTGGATGTAGCCCTATGAGGTGAACTTGTGATTTTATGTTTGCTTTATTTCTTGCACTCGATTTTAGCTGTATTCATCTACTTCACATTTAACCAATTGTATATACTATCTTAAGTGGAATTACGGTATTTGGGACTCTCGATTCTATAGTTGAGGCCTTACCTAGAACCCTGTAAATACAACAACAATTTTCAGGGGTTGGATATGACCATATGAGATCTTTGGAACACCCGTCCACATGATATGGACAAGAGACTTTCCTTAATGTTTAGACAAGAGACTTTCCCTAATGTTTACGTGACTATGTGTGCCATTGGAACTTTTTTGAAATAGCCTTATAATGGAAATGTTTCCCTACAAAAAGAAATGGCGAGCAAGCGATAAATGAATACTTTGATGGAGAATGCTTTCATGCAATGGTTTTATATTAATATAATGTAATCATCTTCAAAAACTATAGTAGAGATATTTGTTTGACACGAAATTTTACAGTTGAGGCCTTACCGAGAACCCTATAAATACAACAACAATTTTCGAGGGTTGGATTGGCCATATGAGATCTTTGGAACACCCGTCCACATGATATGGACGAGAGACTTTTCCTAATGTTTATGTGACTATGTGTGCCATTGGAACTTTTTCAAAATAGCCTTATAATGGGAATGTTTCCCTACAAAAAGAAATGGGGAGCGAGCGATAAATGAATACTTTGATGGGGAATGATTTTATGCAAAGATTGTATATTAATATAATGTAATCATCTTCAAAAACTATATTAGAGATATTTGTTTGACACGAAATTTTAAATGTATACTCCTTTCACTCTAAAGAACAATCATAAAAAAGAAATTTTTGAAAAAACGCTCTGGAAGGTATTTTTCTAGCCCAATTAATATTAACCGTTCATTTTAGTGAGATGATTCGATATAGGACTTAGAATGATTCTTTTTCTTTTCAAAATTTTTATATAGTGTTATCATCATTAGATTAACAATGCTAAAAAAGGAAAAAGTGATTTTTATTTTGTTAAGGTTGAGATCTTAAAATTTACCAAATGGACGGTCAAGATTCATTGTTGGAGGGTATTAATTTGACCATATCTAGGGTGCAAATTGAATTCTATTTTTTCATAGAATTGATTGCAATGATGAAGAGAATGTGCAAGCAAAATTCAATATCATATAAATACCAAAAACATGATTTCGTAGTAATTTTGTTGCATTATACTACTATACACTCATTGCATGAAATCATTCCCTACTTTGATACATTGAGAAGAAGGATGAGTAATTTTAATGCTGGAAATGGGGCCAACTTTGTGAAGAGGAAATAAAGTAGGGACAGGACTTGGAGTGTGGAGAACCTTTCCAAATATAAAAATAAAAATAAAAAGAGTGAGTGCCGTGGGTAATTGTTCAAGTAGTTGTGTTGGTTGCTTATGGAAGGGTATGGTTTGTATAAGGCCGAGGCCCTAAACAATCAAAGTAAGACACATCTTTAAATAAGGTCGAAAGATGTTGTTTCAACATTGAAAATTTTTGTGATGACTTGAGAATTCATTTTTATATGTACTTATAAAATTTAAAGCTTAAAACATAGTGTAGATCTAGTAGCTTTATAAATACTTTAAAATCTTGAAAATTGACACGTCGAAAATGCAATACAAGATGCACTGTTTCCAAAACTTGAAATCTGTTTTTTCTCATGTCCATGTATATTGAGATCAAGATCATCAATTTGAATATTTTTTTATATAAAAACAATATCTTCTGGTGAACTTTTAAGGGAGGCCATAAATTGATTGTTTAGGGCCTCGCCCTCATATAAACTTTTAAAAACAAAAAAACAAGGTTTAGTGCCACCAAATTTGGCAACCTTCTCAAATCATTGGACGACTGCGCTGCCATCAATGCCGAGTTGAGCTCTTTCCTGCGAGGGTTAAATCTGTTGAGGAGAGGCAAGTAGGACATACCATCTTAGCCTCTCAATTTCATTAATTGGCGTAATAATGAATTTAGAATAACTTAGAACCTAAAGCTAATATTGTTGGAATTTGGAAATAATAGATATTGTGGTAGCTTCAGTTTCCTAGGTTCGAAATCACTAAATATTTTTAAAATGGGTACTCACTGATCTATTGAAAAAATAAAAATTATTGGGATTTTTATAGGGAGGCTAATGAGCAAAAAGGGATATAACTGTAACATAATTTAAGGTGCTTGATGGCCCCTTGGAGAAGTGCTTATTTTGAGGTCTCAATTTGTACTTTTGAAACAATAAAATTCAATAACATTTTTTAAAAAAATCCCACGAAGAAAATCGAACCAATGTCTTCAAATACTCGGTTTTAAACTTGATAGCAAACATCCAATGTTAGTTTTAAACTGGATAGCAAACATCCATTGAATTATGCACCACGCCCCGAGGGCATTGGCAAGGAAATTCTCTCAAATATATTTTTGTTAAAAACCTAAAAATGGATTAATTTACATTGTCATGTTTCAATAAGGTTTTAAAAATCGTTCGGAATTGGCGAATTCCAATTCTGCTAAATATTGGCCAATTTTTTGATGGAACGAACATGTTCTATTAGAGAATTGGATCCACTTTATTTTTTTTAAATTTTTATTTTTTATTCGCCTATTCACTAGGCTGGATCGTAGATCGGGCGATTCCATCCAGTTTCTTAAAGGGGCTATCCAATTTTAAAGCTTAAATGTCATGATCATCATTAATTTTTTTTATTAATTGAGATTGACTACATACCGTTCTGTTATATTAAAAACCATACCTATTAATTGAATTGACTATATACCGTTCTGTTATATTAAAAACCATATTTTTTATATCACTTGAACTAACTCACACGTCCTAATATGTATTGTACTATATGTATATTACGCATAGCCACCTCCTCGTAAATTTACTCTCTCTCTCTTATTTTATAATATAAGTTTGTAATCTCTCATATAAATTTTCCTTAAAAAAGACAAAATGATAACGTTATTGCGGTTTCCTTTTTCAGCTAGACTGTTATTGCCTTGACGAAGCTAAAGCGAGTTTAACGACATACTAATACTCGGCTAATCAGACGAGCCATGCGCCGAGCTGACCGGTTCAAATTAGCCGTCAACCTTATCCAAAAACCCAATTTAATCCCGCAAAACCCTCCAATTTTCTCTATTTAAATCCCCCACCAGCCTCCCCCATCCCCTCACTTACCTCTCCCTCTCTCTCTCTCTATCATTTTCTCTCTCTTCAATCATTTTGGGTCTCTCCCATCCTTTGGGATCTTCTCTCTCCTCTCCTCCCATCCAATTTCTGAGAATTTTCCAGTCTCTCTCTATCAACTTTCACACTTTCTCTCTCTTCTGATACTTTTTGCACCATGGGTCTTTTGGATAAGCTCTGGGATGACACCCTCGCCGGACCACAGCCGGATAATGGGCTCAGCAAGCTCAGGAAATACTCCAGTTTTACGGCGAGATCAAGCTCTGATGAGGATCACCACCACCGCAACCAGGTTTCTCATAGTATCACCATTAAGAAGCCATCGAATCTGAGGAACCTGTCTCTAGACTCGGCTTCAACCCCTTCCACCCCCTCTTCTGCCCCTGAATCTCCTGGTTTATGTAAGTAATAGTTCCCTTGTTCTCGGCTAATTTTTTTTTTTTTTTTTTGAGAAACAGTAACAATTTTATTGCATCCTGCATCTCTATCTATTTATTTGTCTTTGTATATGCGTTGATTCAGATAATCTGAGAACAAATCAAATGGGTTCATAGAGAAAATGATCTGTGCCTTATGATTCATTTGCGCCTTATTAACTGTTAACTATCTCTGTCTCTCATTTGTGTATTTGATGTAATATGTGTTTCTATAAGATGTCATATTTGATCTGATAATACATTATTTGGGTCAATGAGATATCATGAATAACAGGTTGAAAATAAATATAGTTTTGGAAATAGATATAATTTACTCTTCAGGCAATATGAGTATAAGATAAATGGGATCAAAAGAGATTATATTCTCAACCAAGCTCCCCTTGATGTACTTTCTTTAAAGAGTTTCTTGTTAGCACCAGTAGTCTCTCTCTATATAATATTAGAAGAAATTAATGGGCTCATAAAGATCGTGTTTTACCTGTGCTCTCATCTATCTGCGATGAGATCTCTCTCCCTATTAAGTGTATAATCTTAGAGGAAATTAATTGGGTCCTTTTTATTTTTATTTTTATTTAATTTGCTTATGATATAAATTTTTTGTTCTTAGAGGCTATAAGTAATTTTTGATGACTTTGGGTTGGTAAAACTCTGGGACTGGAGTTTTGCTTTCTGTGATCATAATTCTTGGATTGATTTTTTTTTTTTTTCCCCTGGAGGGTGGCGTTTGCATAAGGTGCCTGCCTTATACTATACAAGCTCCTCTAAATTTTATAAAAAATTATAATTTCAATCGGTTTGAAAATTCATGTTCAACCTTAATTATAAAATTTAAAATGTTAAAAACCATTCAAATTGAGCCGATCTATAAGTTCTTCAAAATCTTAAAAATAAGACTGTCTAGTACTTGTTCCAGGATGCATTTTTTAGATCTATGAGATTATTTATTTTCTTAATACCTGTACATGTGACCAATTAGAAGGTTTTTCAACTTCGGAGCACTCTTTTCTATTCTAATTTTTAGATGCATGTGCGATAAGGTTTCAACTGTGAAAGGTAAGCTAGTCGGTTAATATATAAATCAATCTATATGAAAAGGTAAGTACAATATATGGAAAGGTAAGAACAATATGGTGTATTTTTTAGTAAGTCCAGGTATACTTTTTCAAGCTTTTATATATATATTTATAATATTTATTGATTAATGGACATCCGAGACTCGATCACATATACCTGAACGTTGCCTAAATTCTATTATTTTATGTAATGATATTTTCAGGGACTCCACGAGGTGATTTAAGGAGATTTAGGATGAAATCCACGTCCGAAGCTCTTGAGAAGGCCGAACCGAGGAGCCCAACAGTGTACGATTGGTTAGTCTTGCGTGATATTTATAAAAAATATACCTATAATTTCGTCTCTTGAAAGAACTCTTCCCATTACTTTTTCTCTCTAAAAACTTTTCCAAATTCTCTCTTTCTAGGGTTAAGATTTGAGAGTTGTTATGATATTGCAGGGTTGTGATCAGTGCCTTGGACCGATGAATCAAGGTACTGTGGTTTTGGTTAAGGCTCCCTTTGTGGGTGTCTCGGCAACAATGAGTCTCAGAAGAAAATGGAGTTTTTGTTAAAGCCACTGTAGAAAGATAAAGGAGTGTGATATTGTAATTATTTTTCTTTTTGCTTGTTTGTTCTTCCTCTTTTGTAAAATATGTCTGAAGAGGTTGTTGTTTCAACCTCAAATGTACAATTTGCTTTTGGTGTCTTCTCAAATTGTACATGCCCCATCTGTAACACCTTGTACTCAACTTATATTGGTTTCCTTTCTTTCTTGAAATGATCTGTATTGCCTCCTCTGTTTTACCCAGCAGAGAGAGAGAGAAAGAGAGAGATCATTAATGAAGACATACTTGAAAGGTTTTTTTTTTATCTGAAATTTTAGTAACATTTACGAATTGTTAGATGATTATTCTTAGAAAAATTGAAATCCGAGTTTTCTAACACCAAAATTTCTACCATCATTTATAGGTTATGGAAGGTATTTTCAAAATTTAGGTTCCTAAAATTAATTTAAAGGGTGTTGTACCTGAGGGAGTGTAGGACATTCTACACCTGTCGGAGTAGATCTTTTGGCTCGACTTTGATTAGGTTTAAGATGTTTTGAGTTGATGAATTTGATGGTTATATTTGATATTACAATTTTAGAGAAATTTGAGCTAACGTTCTTGTCCTCTGAGGAACTGGAATTCCCTGTTCATGAAACTTCTGAGCTCGAGGTCGGATGAGCTTTTCTTGAACCCATCATATTCATATTTTGAATTGTAGTTTCATTTTTTGGAAGTAGAATTGAAAAAGGGGTTGTATACGATGATAGGGAGGTCTTTATTGCTCACAACCATTCGGTGAAATCTGATAGTTCTTAGAGTGTCAAATGTACTAAACGATTTTTTAAAATAGAAGCACTGTTCTATTTTGGTTAATTTTTATGAAAAAATATATTAAAAAACCAATTACCTTTGAGAATAGTTGTAGGCTTGGTAATAAAGATAAAAGGTTTCTCGGCGGCAATCTCTATTTTTATTTTATATATTTTTTGTTCTTCCATTTAGTTCTATTTATAACAATATTTCAACACCTTAAAATTTAGAAAAATATTTCATGTGAATAAAAAATAAAAAATAAAAAATTAAGTATTAGGTATGACCTTCTGAAAAATCTCAGCCCTTGCAAAAGTACTTGTGCATGCTTCTACCGACGACGTGCACATTTGTTTTGGGAAATGAAAGAAAAGCTTTTAGCACATTTTTCAACGTATAGATTTCCATCCAGAAAATTTTATTCTGTTTTTAAAATCCATTAAATGTTAATCCACTCTAAATGGCATAATTTGTCCAACCCTCTATTTAGATCAACGAGAAATATGGCTGCTACGCCCGACCAACTTATCAAAAATACGTTATTTGAATATCAAAAATACGTTATTGGTATTTCAAATTATTGTCTTTTAGAAAAATTGTTTTATGTGGGTTTGAACCATATTTCTACATATAGGGTCTTACAAATTTAAAGCATCAATCTTAAAGGTGGATGTAGGTAGGTTAAGATGGATGGAAGTAGGATTTCAACTAAAAACACTGAAAATTAACTGTTTAAATGTTCTTTTACTAAAATTATTATTTTCAGTTTTTAAAATTTATTTATTTTTTTATATTCACGATCTCCATGTTAGCGATTATATATCTTAAAAAATTAAGTCTTAAAATCCATTTCAAAATAGATTTATTAAGAGAGATGCATTTTTACGTACAGGCTTGACTGCATAGAAACCGGGTCCCATTTTTTTAGAAAACATTTTCAGGTGTCAATGCAGTTTCCATGAAGCCAAGACTTTATAAAACAAAGTAAAGTCTCACCTCATATTCCTACTTTGGTGTACGAAATCTTTATAGTGGCCCCAAAATCAATTTTTAAGCTCAAAAAATAGTATAGATCTTACGGATTAATGGATACTTATTTTTAGAGCTAAATAGATGAGAATATGTTATAATATATAATATTTTTAGAGTTTTAATATTTTATTTTTTTACAACAATCAGGGATGATTGATTTTAAGGTTTTTTGATGCCAAAACAGCAATTTTTTGTGAGCTTTGAGGTGAGGACAATCCTATCAAAATAATTTCCTTTATATATGTAAGCAGCTAGTTCATATTGGCGCGACCTCCACGTATAGAAAATATGCTAGTCGTTTCAATTATTTTTCTAGAAATCATATATGAAAATTTTAAGAGTCTGTGCAACTCATTTGCAAAAATATACAAAAGAATTAAAAATAATAATTAAGGAGTGTGGTTTGCAGAAGGTTGAAACCTTAAACAATAAAACTAAGGTGAACTAAGGTAAACCTCCAAACCTTAGAACAATAAAACTGCGGTGAACTAAGGTAGACCTCCAAACCTTAAACATTAAACCTAAGGTGAACTAAGGTGGACCTTCACACTTTGTCATGAGATGCAATTTTGGTGTGGAAATTTTTTTGGATGGTACCAGAATTTATAGAATGTACTATGAATGGATGAAGTTTCTATAGACCAAGGATTTATGAAAACCAAATAAAACCTCACGTCAAATCCTCAGCAATGAAAATCTCTATGATAGCTATGAAATCAATTTCCAACACCCACAATAAAAATTGAAACTAAAAAAACACTTACATGTCTTGCGGATCTTTGAACACTTATTTTTAGGGCGGAAAGACGGTCTAGATAATAATATAAATTATTCTTTAGAGTTTGAAATCTTATTTCTTTTCAAAACCATTATGTTCAAGTCGAGATAATCGATGTAAAGGTCTTCCAATACTTGAATTACAATTTTCAATGAGTTATTAGGTGACGCTTACTTATTTTGAAAGGACTGCAGCCCTATCAAACCATTTTCCTTTATGTATCTCGATATCGAGATGATCAATTAGATGTATTACAATATCTAAAAGCCTATAATGGTGATGAATATGACATCTAGGTTTTAATTCACTCTAGATAACTAACGAAGTTAAAATAATTATTCGTGCTTTCAATCATCTAATCAAGATTGGACGTTTGAAAGAGAAAAGTTTTTACAGGAAAATATGAACTTTTTTTTTTTTGTCATACCTAACCCGGTACCATCCTAGGCTTTCATGTCAATGAGATTTTTGGCTAACGCAGATCACACATATTTCTTTTTATTAGTGAGTAGCTCCACATAAAGCTTACCATTTAAAATGTTAGTGGCACATATGGAAAGTTCTCCCATTATTTTTCTTGTACATTTTCTAATTTAAATCTTATAGTGTCTCCCATCTCCCCAAAAGCCATCAAATCTTAGATTCTGACCCACTTAAACGAATCTCACGTGCTCGCTTTCTATATCCAAAAGTGCTAAAATCTTAAGTTTTAACCTGGATCGTGCACTCTCTTTTTACAAAGTTGTCAAAGTTGAGTAAATTAAACACTTGCTTATGTACTGTAATTTGTGTTGGATTACTGGCCTTCCCAAAACCAATTATAGCAGTTTGTAAATTGGTTTTGCATATCCTATTTTACCATAATCTGGAGAAGGATTTTATTTTTATTTTCTAAGAATTTGATTTTTCTTTCCTATCTTTAGTAATCAAGTTTGAGCCCATTTAGCCCTTAACTTCAGGTTGGATGATTGTCAATGTGATTTTAGGTAGTGTAGGAAGGGCACGGATAATTCTAAAAACAACTCAAGTCTTAATACTTACTGAAAATTATAGCTCTGATATTGAATAATCTTCAAATCAATCATCTCGTCAATAACCACTGTTGCCAAAATACTTTCCAAATTTTGTCAAAATGATAGAAAACATAAATAATTATGTTAAAAAAATATTTTTTTATATTTTTGAGATTTTTTATAATTTTTTTTTACGATCCTCAGTTAGACCTCTGTCTTGAGACAACTCAGGCTTGTCAAGAGCCCACGCCCGAGGAAAAGAGTAAAAAAGACTCAAACCAACTTTTGGAACACTGGGTTTAAGTCAAGTGGCAACTATTCCTGTCGAGCTTGGGCCGACCTTTTGGTTCCAATATTCAGATCCAGACCTAGATCTGAGTGTACGGCTTGACTTAACCCAATCGCCACCCTTACTTTTTGGTTTGGCGTATAGAGGGGTTGGAGTTTAGATGGATAGAAATTCCTTGATGTTATCGGATATGCGAACAGGAAGGACAGAGATTTTAATAGGACAGAGTTTTTAATAGGAGAGAAAGTAAAGAAAGGAGGGGATTGCCATGGAATACGAGAAAGTTTATATAAGATTGCAATCTTAAAAAGTATAATTAACAATGCACATAAAAAATCCATTGGAAAAGGATGTTTTAATGTCGAAAAGCCATCTAATTGATCAACTTGACATCGAGATGTATAAATATGAAAATTAACAAAGAATTTTAAGTCCAAAAAATAGTGTATCTTGCAACACATTATCTAGACAGTCAATTTTCAAGATTTTCATATGTTTATAGATCTATTTGATTTTAACTATTTTTAGAATTTAAAATTTTATTATTAGATTTGAAAATAGCTTTTCAGGTAATCTTAAAAAAATTTTACAGTAAAATTGCATGTTATGATAAAATTTAGACGTACGCCTTTAATTAGATTGTTTAAGGTTGCAATCTTATGAAAATTGAAAGAAATACAAGTTTCAAACTATCAAATAAAAAAGCCTTTTTAGAACTCGAGTTATTTAAATTTTAGAAAAGTGTCGCTATTGAAAAAAATGCAAGCGTGGGGTACAAAATTATGAGTAAGGTGAAACTAAGGAGGCATTGAGAAGTTTTGGTAGCCTAAGTTGATTTACTTTAAAATTTATTCGTGTACCTGACCAATATACAGTGCATTGTGGATCAGGCACTTATTAAATTCGGGTCCACTAAAAAGAAAAAGGGGCAATGACAAAGTACATCACATCACACAATTTTGTGAGTATGTGGAGTTCCTTTTACTTTTTCAAGGGATTTTCTACCCCGTAGCTTCCCTCTTTTTTTTATTTATTTTTTTTTATTTATTTCTTTTGGTTGGCTTTTGGGTGCTTCGGGAGGATGCAACCGTTGTCGTGGGTCCACCCTACCAAGATGAATGGTTTATCCAATTAACAAAGGGAAAATCCAAAAGATTTCAAATTCCCGTGGGAGTATACTGTCCATTTACTTGTTCGGGTAAAATTTAATGTGGGAATTATTGTAGCACCACATATTTTGCGGATGTAACCGCTTCAATCCATAGACTAATATAAAAAAAAAGATATTTTCTATGCCCTTGAAAAAAGGTCTAGGATTGAACAA